ATATAACTAGTTTTTCGAGTGGTATAGCCACAGCTTACATCAAAGTTTCTGAAAAAGAATTAATCACATAGTATCCTTATGTTTATATTTCTGATACAAACAGTATTTTGTCCACTACTCACATAAAACATTTTCACACAAATACACATAAATCTATTTTATATACAAATACCGACTTTCAGCAGACCTAAATCAATGCAGTCTTGGTTTCTTCTCGGGAGGAGGTTTAATTTTCTCCTGCTTGATTTCAGTCTTGATCTCTTTATTCTCACTTCCTCCATTCTCTGATTCCTGTTTGGTAGAAACCGCAGATGCTTTGGCAGGCTGAGGAGGAGTAGGCAGGGGGAATTTCCTGATCAATTCGCCCAGTAGCATATCCACCCTCTGGCGCTGAAATAAGGAACTCGGTTCCTCTCTGGGTTTTTCATCCTTCTTGGTTTTTTCAACATTGGCTCTTTGCGACTTGAAGTCCCACGAGTAGCCTTTGCTGGGATGGTACTTAGCGAAACTGGAAGATTCCTCGAAGGAGGATTGAAGGTGGTGCACAGCAGAGAGCTACAATATTAATAAATTATTTATTTTCTCGCAGGTTTCACCCAATTCCAGGACATCAATCCGAATCAATATATACTCAATATATACAAAAAAATATAATAACAATTATAATTGTTGAATTTCACTTTTAATGTGGAGTTTTGATTTCTTAATTGAATGTTTTCATTAAAATCCTGTATTTATTTATTTATTCATGGTATTACCTACTTTAACAAAAAATTAACAAATCCACATATGTATTATAACTATCAGCTAGACATAAGGAAAAAATATTAAAAAAATAAAGGCAGAAATAAGTCAATCAATTACAATCTTTTCAATGTTTAAATGATTCCAAAGAAGTATTATAAAGTTTTAAATCCACATTGTAAGTGTTTGTAAGTCTCAAAATTCTACCTAAAGACTCATTTTGGCCATAGTTGGTATGAAGATTTCTTTGAAGTTTAACTAGTTCCGGGGATATATTGACCGATTTTTATGAAATTTTATATGTATATTCGGTAGGTCTGAGAATAGGTTTTAATCTATTTTCATATACTCAAGTGTTAAGGGTGCGCCACCCCAAACATTTAAAAAAAAAATTTTGACAAGTTTTGATGTTTTTGTTATGATGTGACATTAGAAAATATATACAGCCCTCAATTTTTACTCTTCAATTACCAACCTTTATTTTTTAATAGCCATTCAGATCACAGATAAGTTATGCCAGGCGTCTACTGGTGTCACTTCTCACCCAGTAAACAGCGTAAGTAGGGATGAGAACGAAGCCGGTCTACTGTCTCTTTCACATAATTAGCCTTCTCTCACTGCCTACACAGTTTTCGCTCTTTATTATTGTTTATCTATCGAGCGTAGACACAGTTTGCGATGCCACCAAAGCTGAGAATTAACCATCAGAATTTTTAATCTTATTGGATTTGCCAGGCATGTCACCGCATAATTTTCAACTAAAGGATGGATCGCTGCATAGGTTGAGAATCCTGTTTCGCACAAATATGTTGTTGGGAATGGAAGAAAAATATTTAGAGCCATTCTGGCAAGCATTGAGTATTCATCAAGGATTCTGCATCAGAAATCATTGAGAGGTGTCCTTTCGAACATTAATTCCAATCTTGAGTCTGATGACATTTCTAAAAGAGATTCATATATCTTGTTGCAAGATGGGAAATATGCGCGCATCGAAGTGAGATATTGGACCAATTCTTCAAATGCATTATCTTGAAACATTTCTGAGTCGTTATTGCTAACAAAGTCACTCATTGACGTAGGCTTTCTATTTTTCTCTTACCAACGAAAATAATAAAATATCTTATTTTCTTTTGAAGGCAGTTTTTTGTTACAGGTCTGGAACACTGTTTTCTGTTTACTTTGCAATGATAAATTTATTTGGTTCAGATAAGATATCCGCCATAAAAGACAGTCGGAACAACCAAGTTTTATCATACAAACGGTCTTTCAAATTTATTTATTTATTTCATACACTATTCTACAGGATGAACCCAATTACAGAATAGGGAGTAACAGTGGCAATGAGAATTAGTAATTTTTCCCATGCGAAATACGTTACTTATATCATTCGCCGTAGTTTCAACTTTCAGTACCTTATTCAACAAATTGAGTACCTTGGTAAGTAAATTTTCTCTCATTTCTTCCTCTAATCCAATTATCCTCAGAGAATTTAGCTTCAATTTTTGTTCGATCCTATCCATTCTATCATTTAAGAACACCATTTGGTTTTTATTCGCTTCGACTGTCTGTTCCAGTGATGAAAATTTGTCGAATAGGGTATTTAACTTTTTGCCTATTTTCTCGAATTGTTTTTCAAATTGTTTCTCCAGATGTTCCTCAATCATGTTTGATAATCTGGGTGATAATTTATTTAGGATAGCATCCACCATACTATCGTCCACTTGTCCACTTCTTGTTTTGGACATTTTCTTGGAGATATGACAACAATGTACAGGTAATTCAAACCAAAATTTCAAATTGCGTTCTAAGGTTATTCTTTTTTACACTGCAGTGCACTTTTAATGTAGTTTTTATGTAGTTAAATAATATAATTTGTGAATCTAAATAAAAAAAAAATTTAAATAGAACTGTTAGCTAAGAAATGTATTTTGATTGGTATAATCTGGCAGTTGAATATATCTAGGACATGACTAACAGAATTAGAGGTATCGCACATTGTATAAATTGGAGATTTTTTCATGATATTTGTACGCGGAGTGTTGAGATAAAATGTGACACTATTCCTAGATGACCGTCTAGGAATTGTGAGTTACAAGCAATTCATAATAGGGTATTCCTACAGTAGGATACGTGCCTTCAAGTTTAAAAGACATATATTTTAGGAAGCGCCTCTGTAGGGCTTCTAGTTGATTTATATAAACCTGATATTAGGGACTCCACACGACAGATGCATATTCCACCCTAGATCGAACAAAAGTGAAATAAAGTAATTTCAATGATGAAGCTTTTTCGAAGTCTTTTGTATTTCTAACCAAGAATTCATACATGCGATAAGCTGCTGTTAGAGTAGTGTCAATATGTTTATTGAAAGAGAGGGATGAGAATCAAAAGTAACACCTAGATCAGTGTGTCAGGACGCTCCAGAACTTGATTGTTTATGACGTAGTTGTGTGAATTCAAGTTCGTTTTCAGTTAGTAAGACATTACATTACATTTGGATATATTAAGAGATATATTATTCTTCCGACACCAACGCGATTTAAATTCAGGGCGAGACGTTCGCTATCATAAGAACATGTTATATTGTGATGGTTTCAAGTCATCTGCGTATAAAAGGAAATTGACATCAATCTCAGCTCCGATATCATTAATGAACATATTGAACAGTAGGGGTCCTAGATTTGATCCTTGCGGTACACCAGATGTGGCTATATGTTCGATAGACTTGAGGCCATTGAGTTGGACGTACTGCTGCGACAAAAGTCGAAAACTTGATGAGCAGGATACTATGGTCAAGTCTGACATCAGTCTGAGACTGACAATCAATACCCTCTGCAATACATTGAGTTATTGTTACAAAATTGGTGGCGGTTGAACGTTCTTTCATGAAACCCTGTTGATTGGGGCTAATAATGTTGCTGATATGACAATAGATTGTCTTCTCAAGAGGCTGTTAAAAAAATCGGTTCAAACACTTTACAAAAGTTGCATAAGATAGAGATTTGTCTGTAATTTTGTATCTCACTTTTATCTCCTTTTTTGAAAATTGGACAGACTTTCGACATTTTCCATATTGATGGTACAGTTGATGTTTTCAGGCATATATTAATTAGAGTTGTTAGTGGTTCAACCAGAGCTGAGGCACAATCTTTAATGATGAATGCTGGAATATGATCAGGTCCTGCAATAAATTTAGGCTTTAATTTTTTTAGAGTATGAAACATTTTCAATACTAAAGTTTTTGATTACTAAGCTGGGAATATCACTACTGTTGTTCGCATGGTCACTTGATGTTGACACTACATAAAAACCACTGAAAAAATCTGTAAATCCGTCAAGAATATCTGAGGGATTATCGAGTACCTTGCCTTCATGTAACATTTTATCTCCGATTCCATTTGTATATTTTGACTTGTTAATGAATGACCAAAACTTATTGGGGTTATGGATAATCTCGCTCTCAGTTTTCTCAATGAATTTTTTATAAGCTATTCTAATGGCTGCTTTGATATCTGCCCAAAGACGTTTGAATTCGTGAAAAGCGTGAATGTCGCTGTTTCTTTTGTATTTACAACAAAATTTTGCTTCAGTTCAAATTTTCTTTATCAATGCACCATCAAAGTAGGCTGGATAATTATTTTTGGATTTTATCGAGAATTTTGGCACGCACCGATCAAATACACTGTATAATTTTTCATAAAAGTGAAGACAGGCATCATCTGCATTGCGAAACCCATTTAGAAACGTCCAATCGAGATTGAGGATCAGCTCATACATGAGCGCAAAGTTAGCTTTTTTAAAATTGTATACATCTTGGAAACATGATGCAAATTTATTCTTCTTCAAGTTCGTTTTGAAGTTCAGTTCGCATGTTATTTCCAAAGCAGGATGATTTGATGGATCTAGGGATTTTTCAACGAGACAGAAGTGATTGCAGAACACCAGGTCTAAAAGTCTGTGCATCTCATTGAAAACAAAGTTATTTTGCAATAATCCGGAAAACTCTGACATGTTGTTCAACAAAGTAGTATGCGGGCTACTACGATCGAATATGACGCATATTCAGGTATGTTGAAGTCCTCAGCCATCAGAATTGCATGGTCATACAGTGGGTCAAGCGATTCTACAGCTTCCCTGAATGTTTCAATTTCATTTATCGTTGTTTTAGGGGGGATATAAAGGCATATCAGAAAGAGACTGTTATCGGAGAAAGATAATTTCACAACTACTGTGTCAATGAAGCCAGACACTGGAAAACGATAATTTGACAAATTGACTGGTGATGAGACAATATATTCGTGTACAGCAATTAGTACACCGCCACCTCTACTAACTTTTCTTGTGCCACTTGCTTAAATCTTTCATTGTCAGACAGGTTCTTGCATCCAATAAGCACACCGCCATCTTGTATAGGTTTTACTCTGGCGATCTGCAAGTTTTCTTCTGCCGGATTGATAGCGCTCAAAGTATACGACTTTGTTCGCGAGACTGATTGCTCATTGTTCTTGGGACGAATGACCACCGCAGGTTGAGATCTGTCTTTGAGCACATCAGACTACTTCAGGGGCATATGAGATGCGGGTTCAGTTTCATGTGCAGCTCTGCTATATCTGCTTTAAGTGCGTCTATTTCTACCTTCAGAGAAGAAAGAGCAATATTCACCTTGGATTCCACCACATTTTGTATACCGGACGGGCCAATAATAATGCAGTTCCTCGAACAATTGTCGCATTTCCAGCATAACCCTGGTATACTATTTAGCAATTTGATGAGGGTACTATCTTGTTTTTGTTACACAAATAGCATGGAAT